ACAGGGAGCCAGAAGAAGTATCCTACCAGGCACTCAAATAGGAAGAACTACAGAGGAGCTCTGGTAACATAGTGGTTACGAATCGGGCTGCAAACTACAAGGTCAGCAGTTCGAAACTACCAGCTACTCCATGGGAGAAAGATGAGGCTTTCTGCTCCTGTAAAGATTTACAGCCTCGGAAACCCTGTTCAGGGTCGCTATGGGTCAGAACTGACTCGATGGCACTTAACAAGCACTGCAGAATAATGCACTGGACTGCAAGATCAGCTTGAACCTCAAAATCAGTGGTTCAAACCCAACAGCCACTCCTCAGAAGTCCTACACAGGGTCATTATGAGTCAGCACCAACTCGACGGCACTTACCAACAACAACAAAGAAAAGACACTCTTCAGATAGTCATGAACTAAGATTGTTGGTGTTAGTAGATTAAGAAAAATAAATCTGCACATTATTGAATTCTAATTTTCATGCATTTCTAGTGTCTCTTGATTTTTTTGCATCCACTCTTCCATGACATCACTCACCTGTCAGTCTGTCACACTGTGCTGATGCTGTGATGCTGGAAGCTATGGCACTGCTAGGTGATGTCCCCACAGGTTCGCCCATGGTGGACAGCTTTCAGCAGATCTTCCAGACTAAGACAGACTAGGAGGAATGAAGAGGAAGTCCGCTTCTGAAAATTTACCCACTGAAAAGCTTATGACTAGTGCCAGAAGATCAGCCACTCAGGTTAGAAGCTCAATACCATCAGTCAGAACAAGTCCAGGGGCCAATTGTGAACAGACCATCAACTGCTCAGATGCAAATTCAAATCAACGTTGAAGAAAAAGTGATTACAGTCCACAGGAACCAAAAATACAACCTTGAGTAGATCCCACATGAATGTACAGACTATCTCAAGAACAGACTTGATGTATTGAATGCTAAGGACAGAAGACTAGAATTGTGAGATGACATAAAATACATCATATATGAAAGAAACCAAAAGGTCATTAAAAACGTAAGAAAGAAAGAAAAGACCAAAACGGTTACCAGACGAGACTCTGAAATTTGTTCTTGAATATAGAATAGCTAAAGCTAAAGGCAAGGAGCTCTGGTAGCGTAGTGGTTATGAATCGGGCTGCGAACCTTAAGGTCAGCAGTTCGAAACTATCAGCTGCTCCGTGGGAGAAAGATGAGGCTTTCTGCTCCAGTAAAGATTTACAGCCTTGGAAACCCTGTACAGGGTCGCTATGGGTCAGAACCGACTCCACGGCACATAAACACCACCACCACCATCAAAGCTAATGGAGGAGTCCTGGTGAGGCACTGTGGGTTAATGTGCTGGACTGCAAAGCCAGTTTGAACTGCAAGATCAGTGGTTTAAGCTCACCAATCACTCCTCAGAAACCCTATACAGGGTCGCTATGAGTTAGAACCAACTGGACAGCACTTAACAACAAAACAACAAAACTAAAGGACATTTTTAAGTAAAAGAGAACAGACTTTAAAGAGTAGCTGGAGAAGCCAACCATAAACTATTATAATGAAATGTACAAACATCTCGAGTTAGGAAACCAAAGGGGAAAACTGATTGGCATTTCTCAAGCTGAAAGAACTGAAGGAAAACTTCAAGTCTCAAGTTGCAACATTGAAGAATTCCATGGGCAAAGTATTGAATATAAGCAACACAAGACAATGAAAAGAATACAGAGTCGCTATACCAAAAAGAAAATTGGTCAACATTAAAGCATTTCAGGAAGTAGCATATGATCAAGAACCAATGGTATAGAAGGAAGAACTCCTAGCTGTACTGCAGGCATTCATGAAAAACAAGGCTCCAGGAATTGACAGAACGTAGTGCTGAAGGCGCTCACTCGTCTATACCAAGAAATTTCTAAGAGAGTTACCTTGCCAACTGACTGAAGAAGATCATATTTGTGCTCATTCCAAAGAAAGGTGACCCAACAGAATGCAGAAACTATCAAACAATATCCTTAATATCACATGCAAGTAAAGTTTTGTTGACGATCATTCAAAAATGGTTACAGTAGTACGTGGACAGCAAATGCAAGATGGATTATGAAGATGATATGGAATGAAGGTTATCTTTGCTGACATCAGATGTATCTTGACTAAAAGCAGAGACTACCAGGAAGATGTTTACCTGTTCTTCATTCACTAAGTATGCAAAGGCATTCAACTGTGTAGATCATGACAGTATTATGGTTAACGTTGCGAAGAATGGGGATTCCAGAACACTTAACTGTGCTCGTGTGGAACCTGTACATAGGCCAAGAGGCAGTCCTTTGGAACTGAACAAGGGTGATGCTGTGTGGTTTAAAATCAGGAAAAGTGTGTGTCCGTTTGTATCCTTTCACCTTATTTATTCAATCCATGTATTGAGCAAATAATCCAAGAAGTTGGACTATCTAAAGATGAATGGCATCAGGATTGGAAAAAAGATTTCAGATAACACAACCTTGCTTGCTTTAAGTGAAGAGGACTTGAAGCATTTACTGATGAAGATCAAAGTCTACAGACTTCAGTATGGATTAAATTCTCAATGTAAAAAAAGCAAAAATTCTCAGAACTGGACCAATAAGCAACATCATGGAGAAAAATGGAGAAAAGATTGAAGTGGTCAAAGAGTTCATTTTACCTGTATCCACAAACAACACTCATGGAAGCAGTAGTCAAATCTTGGGCAAATCTTCTGCAAAAGATCTCTTTAAAAAAGCAAAGATGTCACTTTGAACACTAAGGTGTACCTGACTCTAGCCATGGTTATTTTCAATCACCTTATACGCATGCAAAACCTGGACAATACATAAAGAAGACAGAAGGAAAATCAATTCCTTTGAATTATGGTGTTGGTGAAGTATATTGAAAGTACCATGGACTGTCAGAAGAACAAATAAGTCTATACACGAAAGAAAGTCAAAATGTTTCTTAGAAGCGAGGATGTTTCTTAGAAACTTTGGACATGTTAGAAGAAGGCACCAGTCACTGGAGAATGATATCATGCTTGGTAAAATTTACAGTCAGTGCAAAAGACAAAGACCGTCAACAAGATTGGTTGACACAGTGGCTGCTACAATGGGCTCACCGTAGGAATGATTCTGCTCATGGCACAGGAGATGAGATAGTGTTTTGTTGTATGTAGGGTCACTATGAGTCAGAATTGGCTCATCAACACCTAACAACAACAACAACATCCTTCCATGATAGACCCTGATCAATCTCTTACTTTTATTGAATAAATTTACTCAACCCTTCATTTTTTACTTTGTTTTAGCTATCTGGTCCAATTGGCAAAGGATTCTGGAAAATAGCAGAACTCTAACTTTGCTAGTTTTCCTAATCCCTACATTCAGATGAGTTTGAATCCTGAGCTATCGTAAGGTGAACAAACTTAATTTTGCTAGACCTTCCTCCAACTTGAAAAGTAAGAGCCCAGGCTGCTACAAAGGCCTCTAACTGTATCTGGACTTCCTCAAGATGGTGGTGGTGGTGTGCTGTGGAGTCGGTTCCAACTCACAGCAACCCTCATTGGGTTTCCGAGGAGGCTGTAAATCTTTATGGGAGCAGAAAACCTCATCGTTCTCCCATGGAATAGCTGGTAGTTTCAAACTGCTGACTTTGAGCAGCCTGACTTGTAACCACTACATTACCAGAGCTCCTTGGACCTCCTCAAGTCCAGTTTACCACTGTGATTAGAATCTTCCATTTTATTCCCTTTCTCCTGTTCCTGGCTTACCTACTGAGTCCTAATTTGCCAAAACTGTCCTGGCCCCGTAGTATACACACTGTAAACAGATCTGCGTTGGAAGAAGTGCAGCCAGAGTGCTCCTTGGAGGTCAGGATGGCCAAACTTTGTCTCTCATACTTCAGACATTATTGTCAGGAGGGGACCAGTTGCTGGAGAAGGATATCATGTTTGGTAAGGTGGAGGGTCAGAGAAAAAGAGGAAGACCCCCAGCGAGATGGATTGGCTAAGTGGCAGCATCAATGGGCTCAATTGTGGCAACAATTGTGAAGTTGACCCAGGATCAGGCAGTGCTTTATTCTGTTGTGCACAGGGTTGCCATGAGTCGGTACTGACTGGATGGCACTTAACAACAACAAAGTAACTGCAAAAAGAGCCCTAATAGCATGGTGGATTATGGGCTGGGCTGCTAACCACAAGGTCAGCAGTTTGAAACTACCAGTCATCCTTCAGGAGAAAGATGAGACTTTCTGCTTCCATAAAGATTTACAGCCTCAGAAATCCTACACAGCGTCACTATGAGTCAGAACTGACTTGGTGGGTGGCACACAAGGTCAGCAGTTCACACCCATCAGCAGCTCTGTGGGAGAAAGATGAGACTGTTTGCTCTTGTAAAGATTTTACAACGTTGAAACCCCTATGGTTTGTGGGTGGGTGTCTTCCATTTTGAAGTTGGGTGTAATGCCTCACTAATTTAGCATTTCACTGTTAACAGGGAACCCAAACAGGGCTGCTTATATCATGGTATGTGTTTTATTGAGACAGATATAAATGAGAAACACCTTATTCCCTGGAAATCTTCATTCTCTCAAACTCCATAACCCCTCAAGAATAGCTGCAGTCATCCAACCAACCACGTACATTTTGGCCAAGAATATCACAAACAGTATATCCCAACCCAAAGAACTCGCTTCCAGTCTTAACACAAATTCAAAAGCCTGGGATTGAAACGAATGTCAGCGTTCATAAAGGTTACCCATTGAGGGGTGACGGTGATACATCCAGCCCACGCAGATACAGGCAATGTGGGATGAATACACGTTGACCTCTAGACATACAATGCCCCTGAAATGGCAAACATCCAGATCTGTGCCCTGTGGCCCGGAGTCCACACGAGGGTGAATGTGCGAGATACTTCGCATCTCCACAAGCCAACCCCAGAGCCCCGCACGCCCGTAGGCGGGGCCTGAGCATCGCCACGCCCCTCCCGCCCGCCACTTGAGCCACCTGACCTGCCCGCGGCTCACGTGATCCGTCCCGGCGCCGCCATTTTGGAGCTCCGGATGAGGAGGGGGAACGCGGGGAAAAAGAGGGGAAAGAACGGGAAAGAGGTGGGCAAGAACGAGGGCAAGGGCACGGTCGGGCTCCTGGCCGGCCAAAGGAGGCTCGCGGAAGCAGCAGCCGCCGCCCAACCGCAGGTACCGCGCCCCGGGGCCGCCCCTCCGCCCGCTGTTAGCGCTGCCGCGGGCCATGTGCGTTCTCTCCCTCAGGCCTCTCTTGGCGACCGCTTCTTCCTCAACCGGCCGACACCGCTCGGTGCTCCCTTTCAGTTTGTGCGGACTACTGCTTCGGCCTCTGGAACTCTCCGCTGAGACCCCGGACCCGCCCTGCAGCTGGGGGGTTGAGGGTGGAACCTGCCGCTCCCAGCACACTGTCATCAACCGGGTCCGTAGGCAGGCCCGTCGAAGCGTTGATTCTTTCCCCTCTGCAGATGTGAACTAGGCCAGTGTATTCATCGCGTCTTTTGATTAGTTTTCTCATCCCCCATCGATCACCCCAGCCTTTTAGCCTCTGTTCCGTGTAGAAATGCTGTCCTGGACTTCTCCATCTACCTGCCCTCTTTTGCTGGAATCCTCACGGGATCGCTGGGAAACGCTGCCACCCAGAATGACCTGGGGGCATCCGGAGTGTGTGGTTCTTGTGGAAGGCCTTGATGATTAATTAGGCGGAGGCCAAGATCCCAGCCTGTAGGCGGTCATTTTCGTTCCTGCTTTAGGCTGTACATTTTCTATCAGTCTGTCCTTCTTATCAGGCATTTTATCACCTTCTTGAGTTTGTACTTTCTTCCCTACTGTGACTCATGGTGCGTGTCACGCTGTTGTTTAAAAGAGAAAGTCTGAGCACTTCATTCCTTTATCTCAACTAACTCTGTCAAAGACCGTTTTTCTGCCCTAGCAGTTAACTATTTATGATAACTTACTTAACAACCCTGATTCATAAGATAGTTGCATTTTAGGTGAAACAAACATTCTTTTAATTTTTTTTTTTTTTTTTAAGATTCAGTCTAGCTAGTATAAGAAACAGTCGCAAAGAAAAGTAGGGCTACTGCATTAGAAGCTATGTAGGTCAAACCACCTTGTCATATCATGTCGTTTCATGTTGTTCTGCCCACTATGCGTATAGAACTGTTTTCACTGTGCACACCGATTAATATAGCAATATGCAGTTCGTTCGTTGTCATTCATTAGAAAGAGATATCAGTAAAACTACTAGTATTTTGAGTCCGTTAGATCAACGTAGAGCTGAAAACAAAATACAGTTACTGGAAAAAATTTCTAGCCGTTTTTTCTAATGTCTGCAAAATCCACAAGTCTACTTGTTGGGTGAATTATGCATTAATTGGGTTGCCTGAGAATATTCTTCTGAATTTCTTATTGAGATGGAATATTGGAAAAATGCCCATTACCCCCCAGATCATTACTTTTTTGTAAAAATGCTACAGGAAAGAAATGTTTGATGCTATATACTTTTATTCTTGGCCACAGCTGGATTTTGAAGACTGATCCAAGGGACTGTATTAATTGCAGGGACTGATTTGAAACACTGGCTCTGCCACTAAACAGCCATGTGACCTTGGGTAAGTCACTGAACTGAGTGTTTCCTTATTTGTAAATTGTTCCAAAGGGTTGTGAGAGTCACACACGTTAACGTTTTTGATAACAACCTAGCTGTAAGGGAATGTTACTATTTTCAATATCAATACTTTATGCATTTTTCTCTGAGAAATAAGAGGGCATTTAAGATATTGTAGAAAGCATGGGCTTAAAACCAGTTAAGCCTGTTGTTGTTGTTTGCTGTTAAGTCCGTTCCGACCTATAGCGACCCTCTTTAGGGTTTCCAAGGAGCAGCTGGTGAGCTTGAACTGCCAACCTTGCGGTTCAAACTGACTTTGCAGTCCGGCGCATTAACCCACAGCGCCACACCAGGACTCCAGATAAGCCTGGATACCAGTTATATTTGCACCAATTAATTACTTTACATCTCTGAGCTTCAGTTTCTTAATCTATAAAAAGAAGCTAGTACACACAAGTATTATGCAAAATCTATACGAGTACTACTCCCTGAACTGTGTGTGAGCATTTCAAGAGCATGTTGTTGTTGTGAAGTGCCGTTGAGTCGGTTCCGACCCATAGCGACCCTGTACAGGGTTTCCGAGGGTGTAAATCTTTACGGGAGTAGAAAGCCTCATCTTTCTCCCGCGGAGCGGCTGGTAGTTTGGATCCGCTGCCCTTAAGGTTCGCAGCCCAATTCGTAACCACTACACTACCAGAGCTCCTTGGTTCCAACCCATAGCAACCCTGAATAGGGTTTCCGAGGAGCAGCTGGTGAGTTTGAACAGCCGACCTTGAGGTTCAAACTGATGTTGCAGTCCAGTGTATTAATCCACAGCACCACACCAGTACTCCAAGGCCATGATTTCCTCGTAACCTTTTGCTTAGTTAACTACAACACTGGGCCTAGCACATTATGTTGTTGTTAAGTGTCAGTTCTGACTCATAGCTACCCTGTATAGGGTTTCTGAGGAGCGAATAGTGGATTTGAACCACTGACCTTGGGTTAGCTTATTCTGCAGTGCCATCTAGGACTCTTGGCACATTTTAGGTGCCCAATAAATGTTAGTTAAATCTGAATATTGGTTAACTCTAGATAGACCTTATGTCGTAATCACAGCTGCCAAATTTAAATACTCTCAGGCAAAGTGCCAGCTAAGAAATTTTAGAATATGAAATTCATATACTTATTGATATTTATAATAATTTTTTTCTTGGTGGTAGTTAATAACTGCATTGAACTAAACCATAAAAATTACTGCCATCAATTCAGTTCCGACCCAGCAACCCAATAGGACAAAGTAGAACTGCCCCATAGAGGTTACAAGGCTATAAATCAGTATGGAAGCAAACTGCTCCATCTGTCTCCTGTGGAGCAGCTGGTGAGTTTGAACCGCTGAACTTTTGGTTAGCAGCTGGGAGCTTTAACTTCTGTGCTTCAGGGGTCTGTATGTTGAGCTAGGGGGCTTTTAACTTAAATAAATTATAGCTGACATTAAAAATGTAGATCTCTAAATATAAACAGTAATAAAGTTTGTTTCTGAGTAATTTTTTGTTAAGTGCTGGCCACCCTGTATGAATAGAGCTTTCAAGCAGCTACTAATGAGTTTAAACCACTGACCTTGCAGTCCAGTGCTTATCCTACACCAGGTCTCCAGTAAATAGTTTATAATTTGAAGACAGGAAAGTTCATCTAAGTCAACTCTGAATTTACATCTAGGAATCTAAATCAGATAGTGACTTGCTTAAGGCCCTATGCCTACCTGAGGGCACTTGAGGGGAGGAACCCATGATTTTATATTCCCTGACTGCTTTCAACTGAGGAAAAATTCAATGTCTTGTATTTTAAAATTATGATCTGGAAGAACAGGGAATCAGTCAGACTTCTACAGCACGGTTTTTTCTAGTAGGAAAGTAACAAATTCTTTGTCTGACAGTTCTTTATATCATATTGAACTCTCTTTATATATACCCAGAAAATTACAGCCTTTTCTCCAGTCCCAGCCTAGCCCGCATGAATTGTTCAATTTGATTTTACAGATGGTAACCACCCTGCTGTAACTGAAAGGAACTAATTAGATATACAAATAAACCAAATAGCAAATTATAAGAAAGTAAAGGCAGCTGAAATAATGAGGCTCTTAACTTGTCTTGGGAAAGGCAATTCCTTACAAGCTTTAGCCTATGGAATACTGTAGTGGAGGAAAGCTTTGAGAGACTCAGTTGTAAAGGTTGTAGAACTCATCTAGTTTGGGATACAACTTTTATTTATTTGTTTGCTAATTTACTGACTTGATTTCAACAATGTGATATATTTGGCCTAAACATTGGTTTTATGTCTCAAGAATTTCTAGTAAGAAATAACCGGTATTGTTGATTCCTTTCTATTATTTCCACGAAATGAACCTTCCAATTCAACTATATTGATCTTTACACGAGCCCCTAGACAGCATGCTTCTTTGCTGAAAAATATAGTCATGCAATGGCTGCCTTCTTTGTCTGTGTTAACCCTCTGTATCAACAGTATTCTAAGGAAGCAAGCAGCACCCTCAAACTGGAATAACTCGAGGGCGTATTTAATAATAATAAAGGTGTGGAAATTGTATAAGGGGATAATGCCTTGACCCAGAGTTGGCAGCATCAGGAGAATGGAGAGATACCAGAAAAGGAGAATCGTGCACGTTCGCCTAAAGAGAAGTGACTTCTGTCAAGAAACACAGCCTGACCAAGGTGACCTAGAGGGAGGGAACCGGGAGAATGAATACCATAATCTCATTCTGCTGCCTCCCTTGTAGCTCTCGCCTTGGTCCCCCATTGGCAGAAGTCAACCAGAAGCCAAGGGGAAGCTCAGTGATGTAATTCTTTCTGGGACCAAGCAGAGAGGCGTAGATGCCACAGCCTAGAGGGGCATGCCCATCTTTTGGGATCCTGTTTACATCTTTTATTTTGGATTATGTTATGCCAATTGACCTTGGTGACCTCTGAGACTAGTCCTGAGCCCCTAAGCCTAACAACTCATTCCTTCAAGATATTTTGTGATACTGTAGAATAAGCACTGGACTGCTAACTGCAAACTCATCAGTTCAAACTCACCAGTCGCTCTCAGAAACCCTATAGGCACACTGAGGCACGCAACAGCACCACATTTCTATAACTTTGACTAAGGTATGCTCTCTGGTATTCATGCATACATTTGCAGCACATGTGAATTATAGAAGGTTCATAGAAGAATGGAATTAGAAGATAATGGAATTTTCCCATGAATTTTTTAAAGCCCCCTCTTATAAGTACATGTATGGGAATATAGCCTGTGTCCAACTTCAATATATTTCTAAGTGTAGTCCAGTGTGCATCTTATCCCTTCAGGAGGATGCTTACTCCTAGCCCAAAGGGGTTCTTTATGACTGTTTTACCTTGTTTCTGAATTCCTGTTAATATCTAAACTTCTTTGGCTTATCCACACAAATTAGTTTTAACTATGAGTACTATGAATTTGACATTATTTTCATTTTTTCTTAGTACTTAGCATGGAGTCTTGCATGTAGCAGTTTTTTATTGTAGAAAAGTTGTAAATGTTTGCACACATAGAAAGAATGGTGCCATGAACTCGTAGGTAAGGCACTCGGTACTCAATTTCCAACATTCTTATTTTCTCTGTCTCCTGCACTTCCCATCATGGTAAAATGTTACAAATTGTCTCTTAGAGGCTCAGGGTAGGAGGAGGATTAGATTCCATGTTGTAGTCATGACGGAGCTGCTGGGAGTGTATTTGTTCTCCTTATTTTGATCTCTTACTACTCAATACATCCTTTGTGTATGTATTTGTGGTTGTGGTCTAAGTGAGATTTGGTGGAGATAGAAGAACTGGCTGTAAGGTAACTATATACTTTAGTAAGAGGTGTCTAGCTAACTTTTTTATTATTTTTTTTTTTTTAGCAAAGGCTTGTTTTAATGAGATTTAACTTGTGCATAAGTTTTGCATATGGACACAAGCTGTTTTTTTCAGGTGTTTCTTGGTATATTTTTTGTTTTCATATCTGTTTTATAGCTGCCATTTCTGTGCTTATCCCCAAATGTATGCATCCTCTAAAATGAGGTACTTACATAAATGTTCAGGGGAAATGGGAGCATCTGCTGCAAATTTCCATTAGCTCTTAATGCTTGAGCAGACACAGCTTTAAAAATCTGAATGTTTTGTCAGCTTCTTTTGTATTAGTCTTTTTCTTGAGATAAGATGAATTCCTCCTCCTCTTCATTTCACTTTCTTTCTAAGGTTTCTACTGAAATATCCACAGGGAGCAATTTGCATTGTTGATTCTCCCTCCTATTGTATCATTAAGGCGTAGAGGGATGACATGAGTCACCTTTGTAACCCAGTAGGTGTGCAAAGTATGTTGAGCAAACATTCACTTGTCAGCCTCACAGATTATCTGTCAGTCTTTGGACGTCACATTTCGTGGGGAAGTAGACCTTACATCTAGAGTAAAGTGTCATGTCATGTACAGAAACAAAACGTGCACTTAGTCATGTTAGTAAACTGAACTGAATGAAATAAATTATGAGCCGCAAGTGAATGACCCTAAAGGGAAGAAGTCAGTAGTCACCTGAAGGAAGAAGGGCCACAGCTCCCCTTGGCCTCAAAATATAGGGTTACAAAGTCACAAAAGGGTTATTCTACAGAAAAAACGCAGGAGCCCTGATGGCGGAGTGGATTACTAGCAGGGCTGCTAACCAAAAAATTAGCAGTTCAAAGGTACCAGTCACTCCTTCAGGAGAAAGATGAGGCTTTCTGCTCCCGTAAAGATTTACAGCCTCAGAAATCCTGTGTGGATTAGTCTTCAGTGAGACAAGGCTGAGTCTGAAGATGCCAAATTATTTTTGTGCTTTTTGTTTGAAAAAGATATAAAGGAATTTAGTCTTTTGAGAGGTAGTACCCTCAGGTTGTGTAGGAGAAAACATGGCTTAAGGTCATTGGGGCTGGGGGGTCCCGTTGGGAGGTAGGACAGCAGTCATTGTTGCCGTGGCTTTGAAATGCACATCCTAGAATAGAGGCAACTGGTGGGTATAAGTGGACCCCTCTTCCTCATAGCCCAGTTAGGAGTATGGAGGAGGTGGGGCCGCTCCTTCCCAGCTGTTAACTCTGTCTCATGCAGTCCCCATGTGTTAGAGTGCGTTAGCACTTGACAGCTAGCTGAAAAGTTGGCTCGAACCTACCTACCCTGCAGCTCTGTAGAAGAAAGACCTGGTGGCTGGCTCCTCATAGGACAGGTGTGCTCCGTCACCAGGGTCCCTGTGAGTCATCACCTAAAATAATAACCTTGACAGAAGTGGGCTTCCAGACCTTACTCCCGCAGCACTGCTGGCTGTATATGCGGTTAGCATCTGACAGCAAACCATTTGCATTTGCAGGGACATAGGTCGGAGAAAAGAAGTAGTACTAAAGAGTAGAAGAATATTTGCATTTTTGCCTGATATGGGCCTAGATACAGAAAGCTGGTATGGAAGAGAGCGTAGAAAACAGGAGAGGAGAAGCCAAGATTGCTGCCAAGACCTGATGTGGACGAATAAGCGCTGATGCTGGTTAGAGCACTGGTGGGGTCTGGCAGGCAGGACAGGCTCCATCCTGGCAGGGTCCAAAGGCCCTTCTGTGTTGTTCTGACAAGCTGGGGAAGAGGAGCCATGATTCACTGCCGAAAATAAGAATTCAAAGCCTGTGACTAAAGTTTAAGAATAATGCGGTCTTCGGCCTACAGCAGTGCCATTAAAATTTTACTGGCATTTATTGAATGCACCTAAAATGTGGAAAAACAAAACTTGTTGCTGGAAAAAAGCCTAAACTTAAAAATGCAGTCCAAGTCAACAAATTAATCTCACTTGAAGCCAAAGGAAATGTTTGAAGGATAAGTACTGCCAGGAAATAGGAGAGTATTTGAGACTCAGACTGCCAGATTTATGACTGTTTTATGTTAGTGACTTGCTTGGACATAATGCAGGATTAGAACCTCAAGTTAACCCTTTATGAGAACTCTGTTCATATCTGGACAGAAAACATGACAGGGATGACATTTTTCGTTCTCTTATCCCCTTTCTCCTTCAGAACAAGTAAAATAGATATATATGGATGTGAGTAATAGCTGACCACTAATATGACCTCTAGAAAAAACCACAGCCGTTTGTGGTTTGTCTTCAGGAAGATAAATCAAAGGAAGTAAAAATAAGGAACTAGATCATTGCTTTTATTCAGTTTCATTTGCACTGTACTTCTCAGAATTCACTATACAGTGGATTGCATGATTCTGTTGCTACAATTGCCCTTTACAGTTTATTAATGATTCAGTTTATAGGCTTGCAAAGATTTGAAGGTGTGGGGAGGGAACAACCTAGAAATTTGCAGGTTTATTAATAAAAGGACCCGTTATATTTGAGGTAAAATGGCATTTTCCCAAGAATGGTATGAATCCTGTATTGGCTTTGTAGAGTGATGTTTTACATTATAGAACCCTTTGAGGTTGTTCCATGTTGCTTGAGAATAACTTTGTTCCTTTAATCAGGAAATAATCATCCTTGGGGGATTGTGCAAAAAGAAGGGAGTATTGCTTAGGCCTAGCTGGTTGTTGAGGGTTAAAGCAAAAAGAAGACGCAGATTGTTATAGTAATTTCTAAGAAATAACTGAGGATGAGAAGCTTTCCATCATCAATCTTGATGGACGAAGACATTGGGAAGAAAAGTTCTAAATAATTTAGGTCTGTGTTGGGGATAGTTGCTGTATGTTCCCAACTTTTTAGAAGGTGCACAGATTAGATACTAAAAGTGACTTTAATTTCCTGAGTCATTAGGATTCCATAATTAGTCTGTGGAACTCCTGAGTGTTGCAAATGGTTAAGCATTCAACAACTGGCTGAAATGTTGGCGGTTCAAGCCGCCTAGAGGTGTGCTGGAAGCTGCAGCCTGGTGAACTGCTCCTAGAAACTCCCAGCCCCTGAAACCCTATGGAGCAGTTGCACTGTGCACACATGAGGCGCCTTGAGTCAGAAGCAACTCAGCAGCAAACAGTGATGAGTCTGTAACTTCTCTTGCCCATTATCTTGTTTTAGATATGGAAGAAAGCAGCAGTGTTGCCATGTTGGTGCCAGATATCGGGGAACAGGAAGCGATATTGACTGCTGAAACAGTCATCAGCCCGTCACTAGAAATTGGTGAACGAAGAAGAGCTAAGACAGACCCATTAATCCATGTTATCCAGAAGCTAAGCAAGATAGTGGAACATGAAAAGTCCCAAAAATGTCTTTTAATTGGGAAAAAACGCTCACGTTCAAGTGCTGTACCACGGTCCCTTGAAACCCAAGAACTTTGTGAGATTCCCACTAAAGTAACCCAGTCACCTGCTACGTATATGAGAAGTCCTACAGTGTCCCATACAAGTTTTATCCCTGACTCTCTTGCCCAGAACGATGGGAAGGCAATGTCTTACCAGTGTAGCCTTTGCAAGTTTCTGTCATCATCTTTCTCTGTATTAAAAGATCACATTAAACAGCACGGTCAACAGAATGAAGTGATATTAATGTGCTCCGAGTGCCATGTTACATCTAAAAGCCAAGAGGAACTTGAAGCTCATGTAGTAAATGACCATGAAAATGATACGAACCCTCTCACCCATTCCAAAGCCCAGCAGTGCATAAGCCCTTCCAACCCCTTGTGCCAGAAAATCATTGGAAGAAATAATGAAACCATTGCTGACATCCCAGTAAATGTGGACAGTCCACAAACTCAGACTGTCCAGCCTGCATCCATGGCCGAAATGGGTCGGAGGAAATGGTATGCATATGAGCAGTATGGCATGTATCGATGCTTGTTTTGTAGTTACACTTGTGGCCAGCAGAGAATGTTGAAAACACATGCTTGGAAACATGCTGGGGAGGTTGATTGCTCATATCCAATCTTTGAAAATGAAAACGAGCCTCTCGGCTTGCTGGATTCCTCAGTGGCTGCCGCATCTAGTGGGGTAGATGCAGTCGTCATTGCGATCGGAGACAATGAGCTGAGTATCCACAATGGGCCATCCGTTCAAGTGCAGATTTGCAGCTCAGAGCCCTTATCGTCCTCATCTCCTTTGGGGAGGAACACAGAAGCAGCCGTGCGCCTAAGTCAGCCAATTTCCCTTGACCCGAGTGAGGAAGAAATGCTGGAAGTGATCTCTGATGTGGAGGAGAATCTGAATGCCGACAGCCTGCTTTCCTCAGCACAGAAAATCATTAGTAGCAGCCCAAATAAAAAAGGCCACGTGAACGTGATAGTGGAGCGATTACCAAGTGCCGAAGAAACTCTTCCACAAAAACATTTTCTCATGAATGCTGAAATTGAAGAGGGCAGTAACTTGAGCCCTACAAAAGCCCAGATTGGGGGTGAAGTGACGGATGAGGTTTATCATGCCGATAAATGTACTTTTGATATTGGGGGGTTGATCATAGGCTGGAGCACTCCAGAGAAGAAAGATGGTGAGTTCATAAATAAAGGACTGGCCACTGATGAGAATGCCCCACCAGGCCGAAGGAGGACAAACTCTGAGTCTCTTAGACTTCACTCATTAGCTGCCGAAGCCCTGGTCACAATGCCAATAAGAGCTGCAGAGGTAACACGAGCGGGCCTTGGGCACTATGGAGACATAGACCGATTAGAACCAGACACTGGACAGAGGCAAGTAGATGGTCCGTTGGCAGCATATTCTAAAATGACATCGCCACTTAAAACCTCTTCAGACGGAGTGACCACTTTTAACCCAGGCAACGCTACCTTGGTGGAGCTTCCAGAGGATAGGCAGGAATTGTCAGATGGGCAAGTGAAGAGCGGCATCAGCATGTCCTTACTCACTGTCATTGAAAAGCTGAGGGAAAGGACAGACCAAAACGCTTCTGATGATGACATTTTGAAAGAGCTACAGGACAATGCCCAGTGCCAACCCAACAGCGACCCGAGTTTGTCAGGAAGCAACATGGTGGAATACATCCCTACTGCGGATCGACCCTACCGCTGCCGCCTGTGTCACTACACCAGCGGTAACAAGGGCTACATCAAGCAGCACTTGCGAGTCCATCGCCAGAGACAGCCATATCAGTGTCCCATCTGTGAGCACATAGCTGACAACAGCCAGGATCTGGAGAGCCACATGATGAACCACTGTAAAACCAGAATATACCAGTGCAAGCAGTGTGAAGAGTCTTTTCATTATAAGGTAAGGATTCCTTCCTGAGATCTTTCAGAGAGCCTTAGAACTGGAGAGCAAGGATGGGATTCTAGAGACCCAGTCCTACCACTTCATTTTATAAATGATCCTTTGTCCAGGGGCTCCTAGCTCATTAGTATTGGGGCTGGGATTAAAATCAGGGTCTGCAGAATGGTGCCTGCTGAGTCCTCAACAGCCTCTCTGATTCTCCTTTGGTGGTGGTGGTAGTGGTGGTGACGTGCCGTCAACTCGGTTCCGACCCATAGTGGCCCTGTGTAGGGTTTCCAAGGAGCAGCTGGTGAGCTTGAATGGTCAACCTCGCGCTTCAAACCGACTTTGCAGTCTGGCGCATTAACCCACAGCGCCACGCCAGGACTCTTTCTTTTCTGTGGTTAGTGTACCTCATCTTACTGCAGTTTACTTGATTGCATGTCGTGGACACTGATTTTTTTCTTTTTTTTTTAAACTAAAGATACATGGCAATCCTGCGTCAAACAAGTCTCTTGGTGCCATTTTCCAATAACGTGCTCACTTCGTGTTTCTGTGTTAAATTTTGGTAATTCTCACAATGTCTCGAACTTTTGCACACTTAATTAACAATGCAGTAGAGTGAGTGTAAGCATAGCTTTTCTGTGTACTGGAAACCAAAACACTTGTGTGACTCGCTTTATTGCAGTTGTCACCTGATTGCAGTGGTCCTGAAGCAGACATTCAGTATTTTCAAGATACGCTTAAAATCTTTTTAAAAAGATCTTGATTTTAAATTACCAGGGAATGTACTTACACCATCTGGGGGCTGGGGGGATATAAATATATTATTCATCTTACGTGTTCCTCAAATGCAAGTCATTCGCTTCAGCTGCTAAACAACCAACGAACAGCAGTTCATATCATTGCGAACAAACTGTATTGGCCGTATTGAAAGATGTTGCTGAATACCATTGAGTCAGTTCTGACTCATAACGACCCTGTGTAGGATTTCCAAGGAACGGTTGGTGAGCTTGAACTGCTGACCCTGAGGTTCAAGCCGACCTTATGGCCTAGTCCTTGTCCTGCAGCATTATACCAGGTAGTTCAGTAGAAATAGAGCCAGATGTGCTGCTTTATGGGTACTTTAAGAGACTTTCAAGGGTTATTTGAACATTATGTCATTTTCAGTGTGTGCTGACTTTTAGAACCAACAAGCAGCTGAAACATTTTTTGTAAAGAAGACGTGTACTCGCTGTATCATTGGTTTGGAATTTTTCTTCTTTAGTGTACCAGTTCACTCTTTGAATAGTGACGGGGGAATTGAGTTACAGAGTTTTCTTCCAGATTATCCAAAGTTAGGATTTATGGTGTGGCACTGGGGGATCAGTACTGGAGTGCAAACCATAGGGTCAGCAGTTCAAACCCACCAGCTGTTCCTCGGAAACCCTATACAGGGTGGCTATGAGTCGGAACCATCTCCATGGCACTTAACAACAGAGATAGCGTCTAGCTAGTAGCAAGCAGGCCATTAGAAATAAAACAGAGTGTGAGTCTGTGATTTGCTGCCATGGCATGAAATTCTGACACAGCCTTAGGCCCTTGGACAAGTACCACCTCCAAACGGACTGTAAAGACAAGTTCCAGAAGTTTCCTGGTGTTTCTGTTGGTGCTGCACTCTTGATTTCTGGGGCCTAGGTAGAGGAGGGGGGTATATATGAACTAGAAGAGCCAGTGAAGTCTCTTACATACTAAGGGAAAAATTAGCAGAACTCTTTTGGTCGGTGATAGGTTTATTTCTGTGTACGTGTTGTGTATTCTGAACACACTGCACTGTATTTCTCTGGGTCAGCCAGGGGGTCAGTGAGCAGTCACATATCTTGCCTAAGCACCTCCTGAGACATGGCACAAAGAGAGAACTGCAGATTGTTTTAGGAAGAAAACATGACACTAATTTCAAACCATTTATAGAGACGCCTGTGTTAAGCCTTAAATTGGACAAAAACGAATCATCATCTGAGGAAAGTCACATCAGCATGAGGCCATAATGGTGGTGTGACTACAGGACTGATACAGACAGTGGAGAAGAAAGGCAATGTCGCAAGATCATGATTGGCAGCTGAGGAATTTATCACTGACACAGGCGGGGTTCCAGAGGCAGGGAAAGAACCATGATTTGTGGGTTCTGGGGCTTCGGTCACCTGCCCGTGTGGTATTGTACTGTACTTTCAAACACACACTGCCTGAGAGCTAAGGTGCCACATTGCTAGCTAGTGGTCGGAAAGAATTCAAATAGAGGTTGAACTCAAAATGACCGAACTGGAGTTAGGGCTTCCAGTGTAAACTGCCATCTTCCACAAACCAAGTGCTTTAGAATTTAAGCTCTAATACATTCCTTCCTCTGGTCATGGATTTTATCCAAGATCCTTTGATCACACTTACGTTGGTGTGCTTTCTTCTGAGTGACTGTTTGGTGGCTCCTTTAGATCACTGTTTGTTTTAGGACCTCAGACACTATCTTGTTTTCATAGTTGGGCACCATCTGATTCCTTCCCCAGTCTTGACTGTAGCATCCAGTCTTCGGTGATTATCTCTTGAGGGTAAGTATAGAGCAGAGCCACATTCTAAGGCGTACTCAACTTTTATATACCCTACGCCTTGAAGTGGGAGCTCTAGTCTATTCACTGTTGTTGTTGCATAGCCTAGCCACAGAATATCTGTCTATATATATCGTTCATTTCATGGATACCCAGTTAGCTTCTTGAGACATTACATTAGAAGTAACCTTCATACATTTGATAAATCTAATAATAGTTACAAAGAGTATCTAAGTGCCGATTCTGTTCCGAATTAAAATGGCCCTATTGTGGTGCTGTGGGCTAATGCGTCAGACTGCAAAGTTGTTTGAACTGCAAAGTCGGTGGTTCAAACTCACCAGCTGCTCCTTGGAAACCCTATACAGGGTCGCTATGGGTCACAATCAACTCGACGGCACTTAACAACAACTACATATAGTTTTTAGGAGCGACTGGTGGGTTTGAACCACCAACCTTGTCGTTAGTAATGTTTAGCCGATAGTGCTACTCCAGGACTAAGAAAATATGTGAAGTGCCGTCAAGTTGGTTCCAAGTCATGGGGTTTCTGAGGAGCAGCTGGTAAGTTTAAACCGTTGACCTTGCAGTTTGTACAGACCTTTCGGTCCAGTGCTTATCCTACAGTTCTGTATAGGACTGCAAGAAAAATTAAAAAGGGTTTTTGTTGTTAAAACGCATGAAAAATTTTTAATTATACCAATTAATACAGTGATAGAACAAAGCTGCTTCATAAACAATGAGAGTTAGGCACAAAGCAAGAATTTCAGTATCATTCATTCACTAAGGCAAAGCTGTTAGTCTACAGAACCTAAAGGCATGAAAGTCAAAAGCAATGAATATGAAAAACAGTGCCTATATCAATAGTTTGATGGACCTTTTAATCAGTCAGTAAACCCAAGTTTACAACGTAAGGCAACCTGAAAAAGAAGTCCACGATGGGTAAGCTGTCCTGCTTCTGCGCAGAGGTCGTTTCCGTTTCAAGTCCAGTGAGTGCTTCAGTTCCTTGTATTGGTGGTGGTTAGGTGTATTGAGTGTGTTCCAACTCATAGCTACCCTGTGTACGACAGAACAAAGCAACGCCCAGTCTTGCACCAGCCTCACAATTGTTCCTGTGTTTGAGCCCATGACTGCAACCTCTGTGTCAGTGCGTCTCTACTTGAACAACCATGATGTCCATTTCCTGGGACTGGCCCCTCCTGATGACATGCTCAAGGTTCCAAGGAAGAGCTTCACTCATTTTAGTTAGGCTCAGTGTTCAGAGTTTTGGGAGAGGTGCTCTCACCTATTTTCCCCTCCTCAGATTTTTGGTTTCCTTAGAAATTATTTGATCACCATCATAGTCGGTTCAAACCGACCTTAGGGTCTAGTGCTTATCCTACAATGCCACACCAGGACTCCAAACATTGTCTTGGAAACCAGCAAAATGATGATGGATTTGCCCTAAACCTAATGACCTGTCTGATTTTTGTGTGTGTGTTTTTTTTAATGTTTCATTAAACTGGTTGAATTCTTTAAAGAGCACAATCGTCAGAGCAAAATAATCTTCCTGCTTTCTCTGTACCATTGTCCGATTCAAAATGTCTAGTTTTTCCCAAAAGTTTAAAAGGACTTCTGGGGGCAGTGGCAAAGGCAACTTTTCATGAAAGCCAGAATTTAGAACAGACATTGAAGGCCATGTGTCTGAACCTGTATAACCAAGACCCTGTTTTTCTGTATAAAGAAAAACAAGCATCGTGAAGTTCTTGTTTATACATGAGCAGCATCGGTAGCAACCACATTCTTTAAAATCTTAGGTTGTAATGATTGTTGTTATGTGCTGTCCTGTCACTTCCGGCTCATAGCACTCCCACGTACAGCAAAACCAAACAGGAAATGCTTGAGCCCATTACCATTGCCACTGTGTCTGTCTGTCTCATTGGGGGTCTTCCTCTTTGCTGTCCGTCAGTTTACCAAGTATGATATCCTTCTCCAGGGACTGACCCCTTTTGATAACATGAGAGAAGTCTTTGCATCCTGGCTTCTGAGGAGCATTCTGGCTATACTTCTTCCAACACAGATTTCTTAGTCCTGGCAGTCCATGGTACTTTTAGTATTCTCATCCAATACCATAATTCAGATGCATCACTTCTTCTATGGTCTTCTTTATCCATTGTCCAGCTTGTACATGCATATGAGATTATTAAAAATACCATGCCTTGGGTAAGCTCACTTTAGTTCTCAAACACTTCAAAGAGGTCTTGTGCAGCAGATTTGATTAATTTAATACGTCATTTGATTTCTTGACTGCTTCTTCCATGAGTGTTGATGGTGTAGCCAAGAAAATTCTTTTCACCATTTATCATGATGTTATCTACTCATCCAGTTGTGAGGATTTTTGTTTTCTTTACCGTGAAGTGCAGCCCATACTGAAGGCTGGGTGGGCTTTGATTTTCACCAGTATTTTAAGTC